ACATTAGAAAAAACAAGGATAAACTAACATCCTTTGCTTTAAAATTTAGTGTTGACAGAAAACATATGAGACTAGGGCGAGATATGAACATTGAGAATGCAGTTTATAAGTGGTACACTGAACAGTGTTCTTCAGGTGTGAACGTTCGTGGTGTTGATATCCAAAGTGCTGCTGTTAAATTAGCCAAACGTATGGAAACAAAGTTTCATGCAGGTGATGGGTGGCTGTGGCGTTTTCGTAATCGGCATGGCATTGGGAGTAGGGTTATTTTTGGTAAAGCTGGGAGTGCCCCAATGGAAGAAGTGGTATCTTTAAGGGGAAAGTTTAAGGAATTTATCAAAAATCCTGGTTATCAGATAATTGCTGATGAAGAAATTTCAGAAGACGTTCTTTCTGGGGATGACGAAGAAGGCAGCAATAAAGAAATAAGACAAACACATGTTAACATACCAAAATTGTCTCTTATTCTTGAATCACTTGATATCATCATAAGTTACATTGATATGTGTGATGAACCTGGTGTACAGCCTTATTATGAACACTTCAGCACATTCAGAGACATTATTTTAAGGAAGCAGTCTGAGCAGGGAACTCCCACATTTGTCCCACCTCCTAAGCTACAGCCCTCAACAAGTGGCACAGTAGTGGAGCTCCACTGACTCAGAGTAAATGTTACACTCTTAGTACAACTGTGCAGGCACAGCAAGCATGTTTCTTGTCCCCCATCATGAACGTAATACAGAACTCCCAGAGATAAGAAATTTACTCCATACACATTTCAGTATGTATTGTAGAGGCATGGCTGTTAAAGTAATGTGTACAATCTTTACATTTACAATCTTTTTCTTGTGTTTTTTTTCTTATGAGTAAACTGTAATGTCTTCTGGAATGTGACGCTTTGTAATCTGGTAGATTGTTACCAGTGTTTCAGTGGAACATACCGCTTCCATCATCAGGGCAGAAGAGGCAGCAAGAACCTTGTGTCTTCTCATAGTTGCATATTCTGAATTTTAAATACTGAATCTGATATGTAAAACAAGAAATGTAATATTGCAACCCAAAATTGTTCATGTGTTAGAAGTTTTGGATATCAGAAAGTGTATTTGGTGACACCATGTTGCATCATAGCACGAACACATTGCAACATATATAGTATTCATGGTTACATAAGGTATCCATCAACACAAAAAAAAAAATGGTTCTCCGATCAAATCAATATCTCATAGATTGAATTTTATTGTTTACCGCTACATGTTTCGGTCCTCATGGGACCATCATCAGGCAGTGTGTGTATAATACAAGGTTAACTGAATTCTCACTATGGTACTGGCTGCCTATTAAATTTCTGTATATGATGAAAGGTAGCAAAACTGTCTAGAATTTGTATATTTATTGTTTAGAAGTCCTTAAAAATCTTTCGAAACATTGAATTTGAGAACATAATTTCTGTTAAAATTACATTTACACCTTCCTTTTCGGACACAAGGGGACTCACATAGAATTAATGTTTGCATCACACTAGATGCAGAATTTAATTCTTTGCAAGTGGAGGGATATGTAAATAAAGACCAAGAAATGGCCAAAGACTTCTGAAGAGGGTGTGTTATGAAAGAGACATAAACACTGAACATTTGCCACTGCCTCATTTTGGTTAAACAGAGAATGCTGGAAGATCATATCCACTTTTCTGTACTGGGNCAGTGTGTTATACACCATCGTCAGAATCCTATAGTAACTACTGGAAGATCATATCCACTTTTCTGTACCGGCGATAAAGATTAGCTCCTTTCAGTGGGCTTGGCAAAGTAGGTTCCATACTTATATCTGATGGCAGCAAAGCATGCTTTCAGAATTTTGTAATTCTTTAACCACGAGAGGAAGGTGGAAAATGTTCAGATTATACGTCAGTTTAATAGAGTAAGGAGTATGATACTACAAGTTAGGTTCCTCAGCTTTACATCACTGTTGGTCACATGAATATTTCCACATATGCATATAGTTCTTTATCTATGTAAAACTATTCCTTTGTAGTTTTCTCAGTTTTATTGATTACCTTTTAGCCCTTCCACTAATCCCTATACACTTTCTGGACGCAGTAAATGTGTATTTGTATTTTACAGGCCAAAGAGACTGAAATTACTAAGTGAAAATTTAATTTCTATTAACAAAGACTAAAAAATATTGAAATTATCTTAAATAATTAGGTGGCCAGAATGAATGTCACTGAGGTTGTCAGTTTACATTTATACATTACTGATATCAAGAAAAATGTGAGTTTGGGAATACCTGTTGTCTGTCTGTGTACCTTTTCAAGTGAAGATTAATAACACATCAGGATATTCAACTCTGCATTATAATTCAGACATGTGATAATGTCCAGCATTGACTTATATACTTTAATTTTTGGTTCAAATCATTATCACCACCTCCAAGAAGATGCCTTGAGATCAGTTTTACACATTTTCATGACCTAATATTATTTACGGCCGAGTCTATGTGGTTTTTATATGCCTACAGAAGACTTTTCATCATTTGCACATGGATTTAACACAGGACTTTTATGATAGACTTGAAAGGATTCTGACGAAGGTGTATACTGTACTTCTTTTGGCTTATTTTGGACTTCATCGTTTAGTGTGTAAAAGACAAAAGACCACAATCTCAGAGACTGGATCTGTCTCCATCTTCAGGTGGGTAGGGAAGGATAAACCTACTCAGTTGGGCCTGTTAGAAAGAGCTAGTTTCAATCACTGAACGATTGGTCCAGTGATTCTGTTGCTTGAATAATTTTACAGCTTTTCATACTGGCCTACCACTGAACAAGGGGCCCTTTCTTCTCTTAGAATGATACATGTCACACTGTTCAGTGACAAATTTTCAGAGTTGAATACAGCAATTAATTGGGGGGGGGGTGTACAAATGTTGCTATTGCAATAAAGAATGGCCAAATATAATTACTTTGGTCCGATTTAGCTTAGAGGCTGTTCATCTGGCTCAAGTCCTATAAATAGGCAAGTAATCACCAGAAATTGTACTTTTCAGCCTACAAGTGCCAATAAGTTACCTAAGGAAGCAGGAGAACAACTGTACTCATTTGAATGTGACATGTACTCTCTGGCCTTCCTTCCAGTACATGCAGGCATTATCAGCAGCTGCAAGATGTGTCTTATTTAAAAATAGAGATGATATTCCAGACAGTAATTACCCGTGTGGAGGCAGGATCGAATACCTCCACTGTAACCCTGCGAGTCATAAGAGGGGATGAAAAGGAAGTCTTGAATCTGAGACAGTAGAATATGGTTGAGAGTCCAAGGGACTTGAATCCGAGAAAGACTGCGCTGACAAAGGCCAGCAGCATATACAAAAGGTAGACCCGTCCTTTTGTCAGAGAGGGTGCCCCACAAAAGCAAGACCATAACTGTCAAACAGTAATAAATATCTGGTTACAAGTCCCAGATGGGGCTCAATACTAAGACTTACTGACTGACTGTCAGTCGCAATGTGACTTTGACTTTGACAGACAGTAAGAAACAATAAAAACATAAGTCCACACTAAATTTCGGAGTTGGTGCAAGCGTATTTCAAGAAGAATTTACAGTTTTGTTTTCGAGATTGTTGCCTTGGAAAAGAAAGAAATAATATAGTAATGCACATGTTAAACTAGAAGATTTCACAAAAACCTCACATGTTGGTTTTCTTTTTGAAAATTAAATTTCAAATTCTGCACCAAAAACATTAATTTTTAGTAAAACTTCACAGTAGCAAGGAGGAAAGTCTTATTAATCAATCTGTCATTAAAATGACACTTTATGGTGAAAAGTCTAAAAATTATAACAAGATGAGAGACATGCTCAGAGAACAACAAATATTTACTCAGCGGCAGTATAATCATCAGATGACATTATCAACATTACTGTATAATGGCATAATTTTCTGGGGTAACGCTTCCTATGCCAGCAATGTCTTTAGACTACAAAAGAAGGCTATGAGAATTATTGCAAATTTTGGTCCAAGAGAATCATGTAGACATCTATTTGAGAAATTCGAAATACTGTCATTCTATTCCCAACTCATATACTCATTGATTTTATTCACGATTAATAATGATCATCTTTTTAATGCTATTACCATGATTCATGAACATAAAACCCGAACCCATAATAATCTATATTTGCCTTCTGTGAACCTGACAAAGTATAGTCAGAGTGCACATGTAGCGGGTATTAAAGCCTTCAACCATTTACCTCAAACTTTAAAAGAGTTGACTTTGGATGTACCAAATTTTAAGAGAGCACTGAAGAGATTTTTACTTCATCACTCCTTTTATTCCATGAAAGAATACTACCAACAGAAATGGGTATAATGTGTAATGTAAGAGAACACACAGATCGTGACGACAAATGAACTGATATAGAAATATGTCATAAACTACAAATTACGTAATTATCCTGTTTTATTTGTCTTGATGGGTATTACATCTTGTATGATAGTTTGAAGAACATGTTTGAACAAGTGTCTGTTAACCATTTTATTATTACTGTGAAGTTTTGCATATGTGATCATGAATTATATTTTGGTGAAATATGCACGGTATGTGTATGACTATGCATTGTAGCATGTTGGCTTGCGTGCTTTTGATTTCTGTTATTGACTAAGTTGCACCTGAAGTTGTCAACTATTTTTATGCTTATTTTATATTATATGACTAATCTATTGTTTTTGATTGTTTTAATAAGTGAATTTTGTATGATAATTGTCTCTTTTATATGCATTTAAATTTGACGCACTTGATTAATGGAATGAGTAATGAATGAACGTCTTAATGGAAATTTTATTTTATTTTAGTCCATGATAAATCTTGATAAATTTCTTGATCATTGTTTAATGTGTATTATAAGTATTATAAGTTTACCTCATTTAATTGCAATATTACTGTATTATTGTATAGATACTATGTATTCTAACTTGACTTGTTCCATATCCTATGGTGTCTCACCTGTACTGGATTTACGGAATGTAAATAAATTCAATTCAATTCAATAACTTCTTATTGACTCGGTCTTTCAGTTAAAGCTATGAATTACTGTTATTTGCAATGTCAAGATTAGACACATTTTGAATTGAGTCAACTAGTTCCATCTAGTATTCTCTATTCTTATGACTAAGTCTGTCAATTAATGAATACAATTACTTTTTTATAATTATAACTGGCTGTTGTTTTGAATGAATGGCAAACAAAAAAGGATACTGACGTTTGTTTACTGCCATTAAGGACCATGAATGGGGACTGTTTCTTTCTGTTTATGCTGCAAGAGGCTAAGCGTTCCAAGTGGGATGTCTGTTGAGCTCATCTGTTTTATCAACTGGAAACAAAATAAAAATCAATCTCCTCAAGCCTGGCACTTCAGATGAGGAACCATATGATCCTCCATGACCTGTTACAGGGAGATCTTTACTATTTCTTTAGATCTAAGAATGTACATGTATATATCCACACTAGAAGTACAAAACGTGAAATGAAATTTGGTACTGCAGGGGTTGGTTAGTGCTGGAAATAGTAGTAGAGGTCGTCTGCTTAGTTACGGGCCACTTTCTTTTTAAAGAAATTATTTCCAGTGTCGTAAGAAGTTTAACTATCCTACCTATTAACGATATACTCATACGTAGGATATTCATGAGCTAATATTGAAATAATTTCCCTTCTAACACGTGACTGTCATTTCCCTGGCTTTCCAACTGAACTTGAGTGTCTATCTAGTTCTGAAGATTCATTTGCACCCCTTGTGGGGGGGAGGGGACAGGTATATCAAAAGCTGTTGAGCGAATTTGATTTCACATAGAGCTGATCAGAGAGATCAGAAACACCTGGAAAGCTTTGAAATGTGGTGTTGGAGAAGAATGGAGAAGATCAGTTGGACCGATTATGTGAGAAATGAAGAAGTGTTATTTAGAGTCAGTGAGCAGAGGAATATCCTACACGAAATAAGAAAACGGAAGGCTAATTGGATTGGTCATGTTTTACGCAGAAACTGCCTTCTAAAAGAAGTTATTGAAGGAAAGATAGAGGGGCGGATAGAAGTGACAAGAAGACGAGGAAGAAGATGTAAGATGATGCTGGATGACCTTGGGAACAGAAGAGGATACTGTCCTTTGAAGGAGAAAGCTCTAGATTGCATTAAATGGAGGAATTGTTTTGGAAGAGACTGTGGACCTGTCGTCTGACAGATTACTGATGATGACGATGAGAGCTGATATAGAACATTTTCAGTTATCTCTAAAATGGATGTGAAGTCACTTGGAACATTCTGTAAACGAATATTTTGCAGATGGCTTCATGATGAAACAAACTTACTGCAAATGTTGCCACCTATGCAACAATCCACGGACTCCACGTGTTATTGAAGTTCCTAGGATCAGACCCTTCCACATCTGGTGGCTTGTTTAGTTGAGGAACCAAAGTGACCTCATAGTTCGACACCAAATCCAACATCTCATGTAGCACTTCAGGATAAACAGAAGCCAGGTTGTTGGTCTCACAAGGATCAGTTGCGAGATCGAAGAGGCAAGGGTTGCTGCTTTTCACAGGATGGCAAGGAATTGCATCGACTTTCACAGAACATGTGACAGTAGCTGCAGCTCTTAGTTGCAGTATTTCATCTTCGTCAGGGGTTGTGGATGATAGCAGGCTGGCCAGTGCTTCTCCTGCAAGACTGTGTATAACAGCTGTTACGTTGTAGGGCGGGTTTGAGAATTCTCTACCCGTATGGCCGTAGTATCCGTCTGCTTCACCACCATAGTTCGAACCTGTTGAAGGGATATTATATTTAAGCATCCTGTTGCACTCTATACGATATATGATATAAACTCCGTCCTAAATGCAACAATATATTGTAGGTCTTTCTTCTTGCTTTCTTCTACACTACATGTTTCGGCCGCAAACGTGTGTGGGTGGCAAAGATGAGGTACGAATCAGACAGATATCAGCGAAGTAGATCCTGTTAGCAGCGACGAAGGGAACAATTGGGAAGACCTGTATGTTTTTAATTTTAAATTGGGTGCAGTGTAACAGCTACGTGAGTGTATACACCTGATGAAGGCCGTTTGCGGCCGAAACATGTAGTGTAGAAGAAAGCAAGACGAAAGACCTACAATATATTGTTGCACTTAGGACGGAGTTTATATCATAACTGTTGAAGGGAGTTTTAATTGTCAGGGTATACTGAACTAAAATAGAATTTCTTAATCTTATTACAAGCGAGACCGTTAATGGAGACGTCATCTATTTGGGTCCAGAATCCTTGATTTTAAGGAAGCTATTTTCAGTGCCTTAAGGATGTCATAACTAGGGCTAAAGGTAAGAGTCGACGTCAGTAAGCGCTCTCTACACACATCCAAAGCTTTTTTGAAGGTCACTTCCAGTGCCTAAAGCCGTTGCCTGCAAAGAGAAGTACAGGAAAGAGTCCCCGGTAGCTGCCCGCAGACCTGCGTCGTACTAACGCCCGTTATAACACGTGTTAATAATTCTTAGGGCATTTCACCTGATGCATGAGAATCTATTTATAAGTGAAAAGATATTTCTACCCATGGTCACAACTACCATTCCCATCCATGATTTATACGAGTATAGGAACACATTCACAAGCCTATACTGTAATAGTTTCCTTTCAGCTTTTGCTAGTCATAGCCTCGTGCGTTTGTACTGACCTAGACTTCGACATATTTTTGAATTGGAGCGTCTAAGCAGTTCGGTAGTAGATCGTCTACCTAGTTTGGAGTATCTACCTTGTTCTAAAAAGAACACATCTACTCCTGATTATACTTGCGGTACAATTTTGTTGGTTGAGGCACCATGCTACAAGCCGGAAGGTGGTGGGTTCGATTCCTGATGAGCTCACTGGATTTTTCCATTGATTTAACCCTTTCAGCTGCACTATGGCCCTGGGGTCTACTCAGCATATAACAAAATGAATACCAGGAATATTTCTGGGGGGTAAAGGGTGGCCGGCGCGTAACGCTGACAACCTCACCGCCATCTGTGAGCAGACTGTCTAGAAAATATGGGAATTTTGACGTCTCACAACTCTGTGGGTCTCCACGGCGTGTTAAAGTTAAACTTTACCATACATTTTGTATATATACTTTTTTGTTAGATTTAAAATTGAACGCAAACTTCAGGGGATGTGGAGCACCCTACAGGTGAAGTCTGAATCGAAGGTCTTCCCATGGCTAATTTTTGGAAAAGAAAGATTCTTATTAAGCCATTCAGATATAAATGTATTTGAGGTGGAGTACTCAGGGGGAATTCACATATGGCATAAGAAACACCTGAGTAGTAATATAAAACATAAGCAAGCAAACCGCGCTAGCGTTTCTACTGATGTCACGGCCCATGTATGTTCGCGACAAACAGGTTGGCAAACACTGCAGGACGAGTTTCAAAATCACGTTCCCATAACAACGTTGGCTGAACTGCAATATTTGTTGTCAGTTCTTCCACGCACCTGGATTTTAAGTTATCATAGCGGTGATTATGAAGAGTTCTATCTTATGGGATTCAACGCCATGCAGTCTGGTAAAAGTAAACTCATGGTTTGGCCTATTGTAGCCTGCCCCGGGTGATTATGATGAAGGAGAATTTGGTGGAATGAAGATTGGCAGGGGAAACCCAAGTACTCGAAGGAAACCCGCCCCAGCACCACTTTGTCCACCACAAACCCCACTTGACCAGACCTGGGATCGAACCCGGGCCGTCGCGGTGGGAAGCCAGCGACTAACCGCTTGAGGTATGGCGCGGCCTTCTGTTCCATTTTACTTACGTTAAATAAGAAAAACTCAAGAAATCCTCAAACACACCATATAAGTAAAGCCTATAACATGAAGCGATAAGCGCTGTGTGCCACATTTCAGCCGCTGGTTTCTCACAGCTGAGCACTGAGTCCAGTTCCTGGTGATTTCACGTGAGATTCATGGAGAATGAAATGGCACTGGAGCAGGTCTTTCTCTGAGATTCTTCAGGTTTACCATGCTAATCATTATTCCACCATTGTACCATACTCATACTCCCCTGGGGTGCGTGATAGCCCTGACAAGGTAGCACATTATCACATTCTTGGTCTTTAAGTTCGCTGGTTACAAAGTAAGCAATTTAGTTAATACAGTGTGTACCATTTAAAACGCAACTCAAACAACAATCACATACTACAGTACACGAATAAAATCAGAAGTTGTTGCCCCATGTAATCGATTCTTCGAAATTCCCTCGTAACACTCAGTCACTGATACAATGGCTGCCAAGTGGCTTTTGTCGTCAGGTGCGCAGAAGTCTTTCAGTGAGAACATGGCGCATTCATGAGGAGAACTTGTGTTCGTCCTCGGACATGATTTCTCCTCGAAATCATTTGCTGCCCTCCTCAAAGCTTTTAGCAACGCGTGTGTTGACGATACACGAACTAGTAACAACATTTCAGGTAACAGAACATATTCATGACACGCAACATGTCCAGCGTCGAGCAGTATTTACAAATTGTACGCTCTTCAACGGCGAGGATACACTAGTTCGATCATTTGTCATGTAACGATCATGCTACCTGTCGGCCTGCATGTACAGGTGCAGTTTGGGTTGCGTTTTAAGTGGTACATCCTGCATAAAGACACTGTCCAATGTAGGGACTTACAGGACAAACAGTAAGAGACCAAGAAAGCGTTAGTAACTGGGCTTTGAGCCTGATAAATGTTCAGTAATAAACTATAGCGTACCATTGGTTAGCTTCCAGTTGTCCCTCCTCAAACCATACGTGCGCTTCACCTCATCGTACTGAAGTAGGGCCTCTCTTCGCGGAGATGCTTCTTTCCCCACCAGAGCGCTCCACTGGTCGGTTCCGTCCAACACTATCCCTTGAAGGCTGCCCCCGGCGGCAGAGAGAAGCGTAGGCAACCAGTCCGTGACGTGTATCAGCTGACTGGACACACGTCTCTCTAATATGGGGCTCCAGATCACGGCAGGGGTTCTAACTCCGCCCTCCCATTGCGTGGTCTTCAGCTGTAATTTGAAAACTGTTCCACTTTAGAGAACGAATTTGCGCAGATTTTGTTCCATTCTAGTGAGGTAAATCTATCCTCATAACAGGTCATGGAGACCTATAGGGTTCTGAGACGTCGAGGCCCCCCACATTTTCTAGACAGTTGGCGGTGAGATTGTCAGCCTTACGAGCCGCGGCCGCCCATTACCCCCAGGAAGATTCCTGATACTCATTTCTCTCACAGGCTGAGTCGACCCCAGCGCCATAGTGCGGCTGGAAGGTTTAGGTCAACTGAACCCACGAACTTCCGGCTTGTGACATAGTGCCTCAACCAACTACACTACCGCGTGCAATTCTAGTTAACATAAATGAAAATTAAAAGCGGTTCCCCTCCCTAAGCACCACGCCAAGAAAGCGTATGAACTGTGACTTTGAGGAGTACGGTTTTCTGGGCTGTAAGACCGTGTAGTTTGGTAGCCGTCCTTTCGGATCACCGATGAACTCACCGAACTAAGCGGCGTTACAACCCAGCAGATTGTACTTTTCAAATTTTGGTAGTTCAGTGCCATCTGTTGGCGGAAAACACAGGAACATCTACAAAGTATCGAGAACAATAGTCACTGTCTTGTACAGATATGGCATGAAACTGAAAAGCCAAATGCGTCAAAATGTAACATGATTCTGAACTCATTTATGGCCCATGTTTCGTTCACACCGAGTAATTACTTCTAACAGAATATGGTTTCCGATTGACTGTATGTGTGTTACATGTGTTATCATTGGTGATAGTCGAGACCATGACCAGAAGATGGCAGTAATACACAGCAGTGAGAGGTACCTATACTGTAGCCGGTATTTCAGTTTCGATCTTTGTCGAAATAAGTTACATAACGCGAAATAGTAATTTAAAAGTGTCTTTGAAGGGATACGGTGTACAGAACTGGATCAATGGATGGGAGATCAGTAGAAAACCTAGGTACAGGTGGCTATCCGGGAATTTCACTTGTTGCTACACAGTGACCTATAAAGAAGTAACTAACATTTCATCATGTGCGTCAATAAGGCATGAAATGTGAAAAATACTCTGGTTAATTTAAATTATATCTCGCAGATGAATTAATATGTACATTTACCCCTCTGAGTGGGTAATTTGATCCCCAGTTCTGGTACCCCACCACGTCTACAGATGGCGCTCCGTTGTCAGACATGAAGACTATGATGGAGTTCTCCAGCATCCCTTTGGCCTCAAGTGCTCGAACTACTCTCCCCACAGACTCATCGAGCTTCCACATCATCGCTGAAACATAACACATCTACGTTCAAAGCATGGATTTTGCCATCCATCATATACAAAACGAAGCACGAAGTCGAAGAAGCACTCGTGTAAAAACAATGCCTGTTCACAGCGCGGTGTCACGTGGCAGACTGATGCAATAGGCTTGCGGAAGTGTGATCTTGGCCTTCCTTCTCATCTTCTTTAACCGAGGCAGTTATAACAGCAACATTTCGGGAACTTTCCGATACCACCTCGTACAAGGTGACCTTTGACATAAGCGGGGATTGCGCTACTGAAAATCGACACGAATATCGAAAACGTGTAAAATGGCTGGGAACGGGTACGGAACTGAACGAACACTGGCCACGTAGAGTAGTCAAAATGGTGGGGCGTGTCAGGAAAAACTCACTGGGCATGCGCAACAGTCTCTACCGTGACCACGGATACTACTTAACTCTTCATGACGTTCATGACACTGAAGTAAAACCGTGAATACACAAAAACTCTGGTAATGAAAGAGTGTATAAACAGTGACCTCCATAGCCAGAAGAGAGACAGACTTACCGGCGTATGTCTTCCTATTTGGTTCGGTGATGTGATGGAACATGTTAATGGTGTGCTGTGGGGCCTCAACCAGCTTTCCTGCGTTGCCGGCGTGACTTGCCAAGTGGGACAAATACAGGAATAGCGGATTGGATGAGTTGTGTTCCTGAATGATGCGCTCTGCTTCTCCCGTGAAGATGTCGGTAGCGTAGCGGCCGGACAAGTCCCAGGCGGCAGACAAATCCCGCCTGAAGTCCAGCCCTTCCATTAAGATTCCAGAAGCCTATAGAAAATAAGTTGTTCACTCTTCAATGAAATGATCCATCTGCAATGACCTGCAGATTTGTTAATTATGGGATCCACCAGCAAGAATATTACCCCTTTTCTTTAACAAATAACTTTATATAAAATAAAACAATACACACGTAAATGCATATTATTGAAATAGGAGTCGGATGACTGAGTCGGTATAGTGACAGGCTACGGGCTCGACGGCACAAGATTTTTCTATTCTCCACAACGTCCAGACCTTCTCTGGGGCCCACCCAGCCTCATATCCAATAGGCACTGGGGTAAACCGGCCGAGGCATGAAGCTGACAACACGTCTCCAACTAGTGCCGAGGTCAAGAATGATGGCGTTATACCGTCACTCCCCCATACACCTTTAGGGCTTAATGATTAATTAATTAAGTAAAGAGGCAACTTCACTTTCTTACCTATTATTTAAATATATAGAACTGCACGATGTACATGGTTCACACTACACTATGGATATTTTTTAAAATGTTTCATACTGATCAGATACTTAAGCAAAGATATCTGTGGTCCAGTGGTCAGATTTCCTGGCTACAGATCCAGAGGTCCCGGGTTCGATTCCCGGCGCCACCAGATTTTCTGGGAAGTAATGGGGATTCGTTGCCCCGACCACGCGACACCCTCTATCCGCTAATGTTGGCACTAATTTCGCCGACAAGAGGCGGTCGCTTGGTCGGTATCGGAGTTTGTTTTGTTTTTTTATACATTGATATTCTTTTTTAAAAGAACTTCCATTAATGATTACTGTAGAACAATCGACGATCCACGCAAGTCATTCCATGGATTTAGAACAGCGACAGCTGACAGCTGGTAGGCAGTTCAACATGTAAACAACACCACAATGAACAACTTCAGTTGTATTGCACATGTACGAATATTTGTATAAATGTTCTGCAGGCTGTCCTTTCATATGGAAAGCAATTCGATCACTATGTTTAACAATAACGTTTACAGAATTGTAAGAATACCCTTCCCGGAAAGGCAGAATCTTTGTTTTTACTACAGTGGGACTATGAACCCTTTTTTTATTTAGACAAAATGACCGGTGGGACATGAAATGAAAATTCTACTCACACTCTCTTGGGTGATGTGATCATAATAGCTTGTAAACCCGTTGAAATACCCCAGGTGTGAGTCGAACCCACGGTATGTGGGTGTCAACTCCTTCTTATAGTAGCCGAGGTGCCATTTGCCGACTATTCGAGTCGTGTAACCCAGATCCTTCAGGTACTGTGGCAAGATTTTGCCTGGAGGCAGGGCTCTGGGTTCTGCTGCGCTCAGTGGCCAGCCCTGCATCCCTGAAACAGGAACATGTCACGTCAGACTGCACACTGAGGCCACGGAAAGGTGTCACATAAGGTGGAGGGGATGACAATGCTTGAGGTTCTTCCATCTCTGACTGCTGCTGTATTCCCCTCCAGTCCTCTCTGGCTGGGGTTCAATGTTGTTCCAGGAAACAAGTTTTCCACCGATTTCACCATTAAACACAGACTATCTCTCTCGAAACGTCGAAAAAATAACGCTAAATTTCTCAGATACTGCGATGCAAACCGACGCTGTTAGTATAATCTTTCAAACAAGCGTCGAAGAAACAGAAATAAAATATGGCGTAGTTCCGCCACGGCAAACGAGATGGCGCTGACGGTTTGAGATTGCAGAGTCAGACAACAATGCCAGTGTTCGCTCTTCAAAGGTTCATTGTTACATGTTACTGGAGTAACACCCATTGAAAATTCAACGGAAGTCTAACCATTTGTTAGATAAATTTTTGTACTATTAACTTCTCCATTTTCCTCCCGTATTCATTTTCAGTCCATCTTATCGAATGATGTGTCGAGAGAAACATTTAACTTTATCTCCCATGAATAACACCCACAAATTTGCAGTCATAAACATCCTTCTGTGTATAGTATACAAAATTTCACAAATCCTCATGAAGGTATTAAACAGTTCTCACGGAAGACATGATACACCGAAACAAAAGATTGCTCGATCGTTGGTGTGATCGACAATTGGTTGCTATGGTAACCCACAGATGCGTAATTTCATAGCTGTCACCTACCTCAAAATTGTTTGGTATTTGTATGGAGGGAAATTATATTGTTACATAACGTGTTTAGATGAATGTCAGTTAATACTGACGACAGAAAGGAAGCAGCAGAAATTATCTTCAATAACAAAAGTCAAAGAGATGGCGTGCTTAAACATGCCGCCTCTGAAATATAGCCGTTCCACGCTCCTGTTTTATTCAACTGAGATGTTGCCCCGACCCTGCCCCGCTGACCTATGTTAACCAGGCCAAAGCGCTTATCGCTAGCGAAGGTTGCTACGTACTTATCAATACTAACATTCTTGAGAATCGAATCAGTAGACAAACAGCTGGGTGGGAAGATAAGGCTGTAGGATGGAGGGGGAAGCGTTACAATTCGAATCAGGTGTGAGGCCCAACCATGGGACATCTTTCTGTGGTAGTAGTATAATGGGACATCTTTCTGTGGCAATAGTATAATATAATATCGCCTCTTTTTCTCAGTCTGGTTAACGGTTGGTAATAACAGATTTACACTATGAACTCAGTGCCCACCGCTACTCCGTTGCTTGGCAAAGTTTTAGTGCATACAGCGATCACTGTGCAGCGTCATAATGTGATACTACAATTTTTGTTTTAAAGAACAGCTTGTTTTAGGACAAATCCGGGAGAAGAACCGACACTTTCATGTTCAGCGGAAGTACATAGTCCCATTCATAAAACTGACATAATAATTATACAATTTCATGAAGGTTATTTTACAGAAAAAATAGGCAAAGGATAGATGTCAGCTGGGATTTTTAAAGTGATTCGCTACAGATTGGATGAGCGAAGATTGAGCAGGGGTAGAAACTTCCATTTTCGCAAAGAAGATCAGCCCTAGGGCAGGTGACTCAAGCGGTAAGGTTTATGATTTTTATTCTGGAGACATCCGGTTCGATTCTCGGGCTGCAACGCCGACTATCCTGACCGAGGTTTTTCATCTTTTCCTCAGTACCACCAGGCAATGGTGGGACAGTGTCTTAAAGTAGACCACGACCGTTCCCTTTCATATCCTTTCCAATTCATTATACTCTGTAATCAAGTCACTCGACGCTATATATTTCGAGTTAATGACAACGTCGTGTAATGAACCCAGGACCAGATCTGAGGTTGTGGGGGTTCCGAGGCAATCAAAATCAAGCCTCTATCAGTAATAAGAAATTTAGTTTGGGGTAGGCCGCGACATAGCTCAACCGGTTAGTCACTGGCTTTCCGGCGGCCCGGGTTCGATCCCGGGCCTGGTTAAGTGGGATTTTTGAGTGGACAACGTGGCGCTGGGGCAGGTTTTCTCTGAGTACTTCGGTTTCCCCTGCCAATCTTCATTCCACCAACTGCTCCACAATCACCCTCACCTATTATCTGGGGCTGGTACAATAGGCCAGAAGTGGCCGCAGTGCAAGGGACTTAGTCCCACCCCACTAGCAATAAAAATAGTTTGGGGTATTGTCATTTCTTATATTCATAATAACTAAAAATAAGAAACCACCTTTTCGCGATTTCAGATTAGCAAATGTATCTGTAAATTCTCTGGATTGTAATTCTGTTCTGTGGAGAACTCGGGGCGACTGGCTTGGTCGCTCACCTTCAAACCCTGCACGGAATAAGACTACAAATCAGCACAGGAGTAACTGCCTATCCTTGTCAGTTTAATGTGAATTAAAGTTGCACTGCGTGTGGGTGTACCAATGTTGGATGGATATCGTCCAGTGAGAAGCGCGGATCTGGTTGGAGTGCAGATGGGCTGCGAGTAATGGTGATTCAGGATCACTCCGCTGTACGCCAGAGCGTCAATATTTGGCGTCAGGATCTCGTCAGAGCCGTGAAAACTGAAGTCGTTCCATCCCTGGTACAGAAAATGGAGGCTGTGAGATTTTGTGCAGAATTTAATGGGTGTGTGTTTGATACTTCGAGCCTCACAGAAGGAAAGAAAGTAGAATGGAAGGAAGCAAAAAGTAATGTGAAAAACAAAGAAACATATTAAGAGGGATAATGACAAATAAATAAATAAATAAATAGTTAAACAATAAGAGATAGGAAATTATGGAGTAAACGACTAATGTAGATCTTATCGAAGAAGGAAAGAAGAATTAATTAAATAAATACAATCCTTAATTTTTATGTTGTTCTGTATAATATTATCAGTATGTTGCACAAAATTTTCACCTCTTTTGTGTCTTAGTTTGAGGTCTGTGCGTGCTTTATCACAATCTTTATGGAATATTTTCCTCTTCTCTCCCACTGACAAAGCCTGGTCTCAAGTGTTTATATAGCTGCAGTTACACTGATATGAGTCGTCCAACGATTGAGGTTAGTTATTTCTAAGGGACCCAACAGAGTAGGTGTCTCTTACTCCTTACCTGAGGATGATGGAAACAGATCAAATTTCCAAAAAGTTGTGTTCTCTAGATTTTAGAATGCATGACGATGGAACAAGTCCAGAAATTCAATAATTCTGAGCACTTTATCAATCAGCACCACAATTTTATTAATTTAAACTATTAATTTAAACGTCAGTAGACTTTATTTTCCCCCTGGCACTACAGCCCCAGTGGGCCTAGGCCTACTTCCATGAACTTCTCCGTTCACTTCGGTTTTTCTACATCTTACACATGCGGTAGGACTCCTTGGGCGAGTGATCAGCTCGTCGCAAGGCCTCTACCTGTAGACAAACACAGAAAAACGCACACAAACATCCATGCCCTGAGTGGGATTCGAACCCACGAGTGAGCGAAGACAGTGCATGCCTTAGACTGCTCGGCTACCGTGACCGGCCAATAGACGTTTTAATTGTGACAATTTTATTGTCATCCGAAACGTCGTAAGTTTGTAAGAGAGAAAGAAAATGGAAAGGAGGGACATACAAAGCCCATGACTTGTTACATCGCTTTCGAGGATATAAGTTATCCAGGACATGAGCAATGCTCACTAGCCTGGGTGTTCATGTGCGAAATTTTAGATTCATATTAAATAGTAAGTGCTGTGAGCAATCCTGAGGAAAAACGGGGTAATTTTTATATTCCGATTCACTGACTGGCATAATTTGTAGTTGTAATATGGGGGGGGGCTGTTTTACGACAGCCAGAAGACTATAGTGAACATTGGCCAGCGTGAAAACTTTTATTGCCACATGAATTTGAATATTTTTCCTTGAATATTACGATAAAGAAAGGTAAAGTTGTCCCCGTGCTTAATTAATTCAACGTTCCACCATGAAGGTGTATGTATAGAACCACGTATTCTTGAACTGTGTACTATTTGGATGTGAGTGGTCAGCTTCACGCCACGGCCGCTTTACTCCCCGAAGAAAGAGCCCACGGTACCCAATGGACAGGAAGCTGGGTGGGGCCCAGAACAGGTCTGGGAGATATTGTAAGGAGAAGAATCATGCCACTATTGGGATTCGAACTACGGCCCTATCCCGGCTCTCGCCAATCATAATGGCCGATCGGTCTAAGGCATGAACTGTCTTCGCTCGCTCAAACGCTAGGATAGTGTGTTCGAATCCCACTCAAGGTATGGATGTTTGTGTGCGTTTAATCTGTGTTTATGCTCTCCCGTATAGGTAGCGGCTTTGCGACGGGCTGATCCCCCAATTAAAGGAGTCGTATCGACTGTGTAAAAGGTCAAGAAACTGAAAAAGCGGCCAAGGTCCATCAACGGACTGTAGAGCCATAGATAGATGCCGGTTCTTATTCTTAGAGCAATTGACACTACAATTACATTCAATCTAACGTCAATATTTTTATCGTAATTGTGGTTCAGTGAAGTGTCACGCAGTAGCCAAAGCTGGACATAACAAGAAGAAAAACAGTAAAGTCATTATCCTTTGCAAATTTTGTAACCAGCGCTTGGAAGGCGGTACAAAGAGAAGACGTGCCAATCTCGTTAAATAAGGAGTAAGCAGTTGAGTAACACTTGCAGAATTATTACGCAACTTCTCGGGTTCTATACGCCAAAAATATTTCACACAGATGTACCATTAATTCAGTTGTGGTCATCAAACAATAATGAAGATTACTCTCTTATGTAAAACTATGACGTGTAGTCTGAAATAAGTTTGAAGACGTTTCGGAGGACTTCACTGTTTCTATTTCCAGAGTCGAAAAACAAGCCGTGCAAGCAATCACTAAGTAACATACATTAATCACGTCTCTGCTTACACCTTCATATGAGATTTGATACCGTGTAATGTGGTATAAAATTTTACCGACGTTTCGGAGGAACGTACTGAATTTTCAGTGCCGAAAACTAATGCAAGCAAGCAACCAGAAAGAATTAAACATAATCCTCGTATTTTCTTATACTCTCTTATGGGATGTGACACCGTGTAACATGACAGAGTTTCACTGACGTTTCGGAGGCACTTTATGTATTAATTTCGGGACTGAAGACTAAACCAAACAATCAGCCAGATGGAAGAAACAAACAGAATTATAGTTATGCTTGTTCATTCTTGACTTACTTTTCCACCCTGAAGCTGTAGGCAGTAACTACATTCCTGTAATGAATTTGTAATAATCAATGCGGTCACTATAAAGATTATTGTATTTTGGGTTGTAATGCCAATTAGTTCGGAGAGTGCCCGATGTTTCGGATTAACATATTGCTTCCTTCTTCAGGTTTGAAGAGTAGGTCAATGAAGAAAGCAGTAGAAGTAGACGGCAAGCCTAGCTGATTGCACTGTTTTGTCTTTTAAATCTAGTTTAATATAGCATGTGACATCTTCACTGAAATAAAATTAAAATAAGGAAAACTTCTAGCAGATTACACGGCGTCACATCCACCAACGTTGGAACTTCAAATGAAAAGTACTCACCACATCATCTGCAAGAATGAACACGATGTGGGGTCGGCTGGACTGGATAGCGGGCATCATTGCCAGCAGCAGAGACACAAAACTTACAAACATCTGGAACAACGAATTTCGTTTCATCTCAAAAATTTGTTGGCACCAGAATTGACGTATTCATGACGTACTGGAAGAATGGTACAGCGCTACCGTTCTTCAGCTTCATACTGGAAATTGTTTCAACTATCTTAATCAAGTCATTTCCCCCACACGAGCAATAGAGTCAGCCCGCACTAATCACATGTCTGCGAGCAGATAAGCAGCATTTGCAGACGCCAGGATGAGCTAACTGACCTGTAATTAAATTATGACATGTGTCACTTGATACAGTGTGACAATTAAGTTCCCGATCTAACTCTTCTTTTTATCTTGAGAAAAGAATTATGTATATACAAAAGAGGCCTAGACAATGCCCATCTTGCTTTCTGTAGCACATTCTTATAAATATCTTATTCTATCACAGCGGTCACCCAATGATTTTTGAACATTTGTGCTAACTTAACTCTAAGATATACTATAATAATATTGTACATACACTTATTTTTAAAATAATTTTAAATTAATTTTATTAATGAAGTAACAGACGCCTTGCACAAATATTTTTTCCTATAGCCTTAAGAGCTCTGTAACTGAGTTTGGGAATTCTTTTCTTGCTCTTCTCAGACGAAATGTCCTTTGGTCCTCATATGAGTTTACGGTCCCACATGATATGTTCCTGCGTTTGCTGCCTGTCACCACATTTGCATTCAGCTGTGGAGACAATGTTAAATCTATTTAAACATGTAGCAGAGCCGTAGCTGGGCACTGACCTTGATATTTGTTGTGTTGTGACGGTTAATAACGAAGTTGTATATTGTAACACAACAGGATGCATGAAATGAAAAAAATTACTTAAACTTGCTTTTAACACTTTGCCAACTTTAGCGGATAGAGGGTGTCACGTGGTTAGCGCAACGAATCCCTACGGCCGTTAATTTCGGTTTTCTAGACCGGAGCCGAAATTTCCTTAAAATAGCTCCTCAATTATCATCACGAGGCTGAGTGGACCCTGTTCCAGACCCACTACTTCTCAGAAAATTTCTGGATCTGTAGGCAGGAACTCTGACCACTAGACCACAGAGGCGGTTGTTGTATATAAACTTTGTTATTTACATCTGAATTATTTCTTTGTGTGTAGCTGCACTTCTGGCCACGGTAGCCGAGCAGTCTAAGGCATGCACTGTCTTCGCTCGCTCGGAAGCCGGGATCGTGGGTTCGGATCTGTTTCCTGTGAGGTACGAACTGAATTCTTATATATTATCCTTATACACTGCCGGTCACGGTAGCCGAGCAGTCTAAGGCATGCACTGTCTTCGCTCGCTCGGAAGCCGGGATCGTGGGTTCGGATCTGTTTCCTGTGAGGTACGAACTGAATTCTTATATATTATTCTTATGCACTGCCGGTCACGGTAGCCGAGCAGTCTAAGGCATGCACTGTCTTCGCTCGCTCGGAAGCCGAGACCGTGGGTTCGGATCTGTTTCCTGTGAGGTACGAACTGAATTCTTATATATTATTCTTATACACTGCCGGTCACGGTAGCCGAGCAGTCTAAGGCATGCGCTGTCTTCGCTCGCTCAGAAGCCTGGATCGTGGGTTCGAATCCCACTCAGGGCATGGATGTTTAGTGTTTATGTGCGTGTTTCTGTGTTTGTGTACAGGTAGAGGCTTTGCCATGAGCTGATCACCCGCCCAAGGAGTCCTACAGAATGTCTAAGATCTGGTAAACCGAAGTGAAACGGAGAGTTTCATGGAGGTAGGCCAAGGCCAAAATTGGGGCTGTATCGCCAAAGGAAGAAAAATGTAGTTGCATTTACGTGTTGTCGAGACTCCACCGCCAGCGAATGGATAATGGTCAGCCAGTCGCAAGGCAGCTACCTACACATAGAACAACTCAAAAACAGAATAAACGCACACATACACATCCAAGCCTCGAGTGGGATTCGAACCCACGATCCCAGTGTTTGAGAGCCGGCGAAGACTGTTCATGCGTTAGACCGTGCGGCCACTGGAATTCAAATTCATATTACATGCGTTGACTTAAAAGAAAGAACTTCCCCCCCCTGTGGCGCTACAGCCCCAATTTGGGCCTAGGCCTACCTCCATGAAACTCTCCGTTTTCACTTCGGTTTACCAGATCTTACACAGACGGTAGGACTCCTTGGGCGAGTGATCAGCTCGTCGCAAGGCCTCTACCTGTAGACAAACACAGAAAAACGCACACAAACATCCACGCCCTGAGTGGGATTCGAACCCACGATCTCGGTTTCCGAGCGAGCGAAGACAGTGCATGCCTTAGACCGCTCGGCTACCGTGACCGGCAAAGACAGAACTTAGTCTTTGATGATTAAGATATTGTTAGACGTTTGATTGTGACTAGAGACGAGGCTTCATTGGTAACTGGTTCTACTGGACACTTACGTTCGTAACTACCACTGCAAGTAACTACGATATTTTCACTGAGTTACACACTCCAAAGATCACTGAAATTACAAAAGTAAAGGTAAAGTTGTCCCCGTACTTAACTAATTAAGCACTACGTTATGAAGACGTGCGGGGGAGTGGATATATAGATCCACATTTTCTTGACCTCCTCACTAGTACGAGGCAAGTAGTCAGCTTCACGCCCCGGACGCCTTACTCCCAGGGACATTATGACATTATGCAAGTACTATCCAAATATATGCCTGGATGGACTGAGGAAAACTATGAAAAACCTCATTCAGGTTATCAGGTGTACTGGCCGAGATTCGAACTGGACGTCGCCGAAATATAAGTTAAAAAGTGTTATCGTTGAGTTAACTTATTCTTTCTTGCTGTCAGAATATCATACCTCACAGTTCATTTCCTGTGATTCTGAATTGAAATAGATAAGTCTACAATTTGCATTATTTATATTAAATTCGAACCAAAAACCTCACGAATACAATTTTAAGCGTTATTTCTATACCATAGTGCTCGGAAATACGTCATGAGTTTTTATTTTATTTTGCTTTTGGAATATTTCTTGGTTCCCGCTATAAAAGATTCACTTCCGGCTGTTTCTGTCGGCAAGACAAGATGCATCCTGTTTTGACAAGTTTTTTTTCGACTTGTTCCGTATGACCTTAAGTAGGGTGTAGCTAATCAACCTTGACGAGCACTTACTGGGAGAGAGTTCTGCGTCTACAGCTATTATCGTGCTAAGAAGCATTATATAACAGCACAGAGTGACATACTTGTTATGTTCCTAGGTTAATTTATGCTATTATCGCTATCTAGAGCAGGGACGGCAAGTTTCATAGCAGAATCACTGTATCAGGTGTTGCAAGTTGTCTGTTGCCCTCGAAAGAAGTCAATGCAGTATTTAAAAGTAAAGTTATCCCTGTAACAGGCCATAGAGGCCCATAGGGTTGTGAGACGTCGAGGCTCCCACATTTTCTAGACAATCGGTTCACAGATGGCGTAAGATTGTCATCCTTATCCGCCAGCAGCCCTTTACCACCCAGGAAGATTCCTGGTACTCATTTCTGTTAGAGGCTGAGTCGATTCAAGGACCATAGTGCGGCTGAAAGGATTAGATAAATTGAAAAAATCCACCTCATCGTGACTCGAACCCGCGACCTTCCGGCTTGTAGCATAGTGCAGTGTTTATGAAGTAAATTTTAAGAGGAATAAATGTATTTATGTAAAAACCGTCTCGAATAAAATTGCAACTTTCATTAGCAAAAACTAAGCTACTACATTGCATGAGGCATTTATAAAAAAGTCTACATTAATTAAACATCTTTCACAGTAGCTCCGATGGCCGGACCATAGTTTTCGAACCGCTGGTCTAGACTGCGAGGCTCCGAATTATAGGAAGATTGATGAATAAAGAACTGTAAGGGATTTAGAAGGAAACGGTTGTGCAATAATTGTCATACTATCCCGGTCTTTGCCTGGAGGGACTGAGGAAAATGGCGAAAGGCGACAATCCTTTTAAGTTCTTCTTTCAGTTTCTGCGGGTGGAGGTGAGACTGAGTCCATTTGGTACGTCGCCCACTCTACCAGCCACTTTGACCACCACAAATCCTACATAACTTAACCCGGGATCGAAACCGGATCGCCGCGGTGGAAAGCCACTGACTGACAGCCTGAGCTATGATACGACCTTCAAGAGGAAACAACTCTGTTTCAAGCGGTTAGTCGTTGGCTTACCACCATAGCGGCCTGAGTTCGATCCCGTCTAGTCAAGTGGGATTTGTGGTGAACAAAATGGCGCTGGGGCAGGTTTACTCCGAGTACTTCGGTTTCCCCTGCCAATCTTCATTCCACCAATTGCTCCACAATCACCCTCACCTATCATCTGGGGCTGGTACAATAGGCCAGAAGTGGCTGCAGTACAAGGGACTTAGTCCCAACCCACTAGCAATAAAAAACTTACTGACTTACCAAAACTGTACGTGAATAGAATTATATTTTAAATAATTCTTGAGAACTCTGCGAGGCCCTTCTGGTTGTGACTCATACCATGCAAGCAGCAAGTAACAAATTACTGAACATCTGTAGTTACTGTACCTTCAGCTCGCCCTCGGCACAACATTCATATCCATTTTGTCGAAATAAAGAAGTTCCTCTCTCTGACTCAGCACCGCGATGTGAGACTCCATCCTTTGGCTGCTTCACTCAGCTGCACTGCCTGTGGGTCGCGCTTTTCGGCATGGCTCCTGGGTTGCCCGTAAGGATAAACATGGCAAGAATTACTAAGGCAGTGGTTGCAGCTGCATTGTAAGAGGAAGAGAGGGTGACGCACTGTAACTAAGGCTCTCTTATAATCCATGTACACACCATGATCCCTTGTCCCAGTCAGCGGACTCTACCACATCCGCTGTACATTCTATTGAGAGCGAGCAGGCCTAGCAAACATCGAGAGTACTTAGAACTGAGGCATCATACAGAATGTCTTCGAAAATAATTCTTCCTTAGTTGAAGAACAAACATTTACGTTAGAGTTTGTTTACAAAGTTGAAGAAGACTGCATGACATGTGCTCTTCGCCAAATATACTTAATCAAGTCAAGGACGATGAGATGGGCACGCCATGTAGCACGAATGGGGTAGAACAGGGAGTTCTGGGAGTAGCTAATCACCTATTTTCCTTTGCTGTAACACGGACCGCACAGAAAATATAAATAATGGGGATATACAGATACACGGAGAGGAAATTTCACACATAAGCATCATTTTATTTAGTTTTTTCAAATTAAGAAAAATAAGCTAAAATAAATCTTAGAGAAAGAGGATGGGATGATACGGACTGGATTAATGTGGCTCAGGATAAGGACCAGATCTTGTGAACTCAGTAATGAACCTTCGGGTTCCATAAAAAGTTGAAAAATTCTGGAATAGTTGTGCGACTGCTGGCTTCCCAAGAAGGGCTCAGCTCCGCGGAGTGTTAGTGAGTGTAAAATGTTTGTCAATATGTGTAAGGTAAAATTTTGTTGAATCGTATTTCGAAAATAAAGCCATAATCTACTTCCCTATCATACCTCTTAATGTTATAGGCCTACACCCATTGTCCACTGGATGTTTTCGGTGACCTTTTCCCAGAAAAATTTCACCACAAAAATTCTTTATTCTTTACTAATTGTCAATAGATAGTGATAATGTGATAGTGATAGTGTAACGGACCAAAATGAAACAATTCAAAATCTTTATTCTTTCTTTGTATCTCCTCCATTCGAGACATAATTTTGGCCCATTATAACCTTGATTTTGCTATCCTAACAAGAACACCAATTCTTCTCTGTGGCTTATTTCATGACGCTGTTAGCCATAGCCCATATACAGTTGAATGGTAGGATGATGAATTGGAAAGGATTCGAAAGGAAGCAGTCGTGGTCTTTACAAGGACAGCCGGTGTCCAGCCAAGATTCGAACTATTTTTTATTGCTAGTGGGGTTGGACTAAGTCCCTTGTAATGCGGCCACTTCTGGCCTATTGTACCAGCCCCAGATGATAGGTCAGGGTGACTGTGGAGCAA